GGCAGCTCTGGGTCAGTCAGGCACTGCCCTGGCTGGGGGGGACTTAAGGCTAATTCAGCACTTTACTGTTTCCCTACTATCCTCTACCTCGTTCTTAAGGAAGAAAATAATCCCCTTTCCAACAGAATCCTGCAGATCTGCATCCCAACACCCTCAGTTTTGCAGTGAATCACTGACAGGGTCAGCAAACGCTAATTCTCACTATCTCATGATAGTCTGGGGACAGCTCTGTCCCCTCCAGTTTAATCTTTCCCCTCCAGAAGCATAAAGTTTCCAACTGGAAGTTCTGTACCATAAGCAGAAACAATTAGGATATAGACTGGATGAATTTACAGATATCAGGGAAAGCCAAAAGCCAATATTAACAGATGGTAATGGGGGTCTTTGTTCTGTCAAGTGCTGTTCCAACCAACACCAGAGGGTTACCAACAGCAATCATCTGCACTGAATTATGCAACAGGCTGCCAAGACAATGAATTTTTCCTCAGGGAAAGTTGTCAGTTGCAATGGAGTTAAAAAAAAAGATATTTTAAGTGACTATCAGCCAGTTCTGCAGGTTGAAGATTTAAAAAGAACAAGCAGCGGTTTAGAACGAGCCTCGTTTATTCATTCCCTGGTTTTTATTAAAATTGACCCTATCTAGTATGAAAATAATCCCTCTAAGCCCTCTTACAGAGGACTTAAGAGTTAGGCCAATATTCAATTTAGCAGAGAGGGGAGGAGGGGATGACTTACACATCAACAAAAGCCATTCCTCAACCAGCAAGTGCACACAGATCCCACTGAGATGGGATTATGAATTAGACAAATTAAGAAAACTGATCCCCCTCAGATAAGGCAAATATGAAGATAAAAGAAGCCATCTGTGCAGCTGGAGAACTCGGTTTACCCCCAGCAACAGGTAGGAGAAGGCAGAGCATGTATTCACACACCCACCCTGATGTTATCGACCCCCAAAGTGCTGCCAGCTCAGAGCCAGGAAGGCAGGGGGAGCTCCCAGCAGGCAATGCCAGCCCTGCCCTGCTGTCCCACACAACAGGCAGCTTTCTGCCAGCTCAGGGAGCTCAACTGGCTCACTGAGAGCACCAGGAAAAGGCAGGATCATAGGACTGGGAATGTGTGACCATCCCAGTGTGCTCTGGCTCAGGGCACATCCTGACGTGCCCGTGGAGCTGCTGTGGCACCGTCACCAGCTCCAACCCATCTCCAAAGCTGCCAGAGCTGGGGAAACTGGAGAACTGAATACAAACATTACCCCAACTGCCAATACTGCCCAGCCCAGCTGCCAGGGAATCACAAATTTATGAGAACATAGCACAGGCAGCATTAGCAGGGAAAGCACAGACACAGGGGTTTAGTTTGGGGGTTTTTGTTTGGTTAGTGGTTGTTCTCTTTAAATGAGGTACAAGAATGTTCAGGCCTGATGTCAAACACTCTCTGCAGGGGCTTATCCAACACTTCCCCAGGCACTAAGGGGACACAAACATGGGCAGAGAGTCACAGAGCAGCCTGAGCTGGAAAGGACCCACAAGGATCATCCAGTCCAACCCCTGACCCTGCCCAAGACACCCCAAAAATCCCACCCTGTCCCTCAGAGCATTGTCCAAAGCCTCCTGCAGCTCTGGCAGCCTTCGGGCTGTGCCCACTGCCCTGGGGAGCCTGGGCAGTGCCCAACCAGCCTCTGGGGGAAGAACCTTTGCCTGAGATCCAACCTGAGCCTGCCCTGACACAGCTCCAGCCGTTCCCTGGCTGCTGTCCCTGCTCACAGCCCCTCCAGCCTCTGATGTTGCAGAGCTCTAACACAACAACCCCCAGGGACTGCAGCAATTCCACTGCCCACGGTCACACCCACCCCAGACCCCAGCACTCCCACCTGCAGGGGCAGCAGCACAGCAAGGATTAAATGCTTCCCAGATAAATACATCAGATTTCTTAGCACATTTCAAGGGCAGGGTGAGATGCACTGCTATCCCTAATAGTCACACGTCGTCATTTTTGGGCCAGTTCATTCAATTTTGAAGTTAAACACCCACCAGTTGCCTCATGTCTCTCTGTCCCCATCCTCTGGATTAAGTTTCAGGCAGCAACTCGGCCAGCTGCTCTTTCACTCCAGACACAGACTTACCTCAGCACAACCTCCTCCAAACCCAGCCCGTTGCCCAAATGCCTGTAATGTGCTGAGGCCAAAGCCAAACTCCACCTCACAGCCTTTCTGTGTTGCCCACTATCCCAAAACCACCAATATCCACTGCTGCAAAGCCACAGATAAAAGGGATTTAAGCAAAGAACAGCAGACATGCAGCTCCCCATCCTGGGAGAGGAGGAGAACTCACACAGCTCGTGTGAAGCCTCAGAGAAGTGTCACAGAACAAAGGCACAAACAGCAGGGCCACATGTGCTGGGCTCCAGCAGCAAAACCCACAGGGAACTGCTCAGTGAAGCTCCAGGGTGAGCTCCTTCATCCCACTCAACAACCTGGACAAGGTGCTGAAAGGGGAAAGGACACAGCTCCCTCTTTAGAGGGCTGCTCTCAGCACCACTGACCACATTCACCACCCACAGCCCAAAGCTTTGCCACTTCACAGTGGAGCAAAAGGGTTTCAGTGGCTTTTGTCAGTCTCACAATGGAAATTTTGGGGATTTGAGGCTGGGTGCAGTGAGGGTGGGAGTCTGAAGATGGAAATGGCCAAGAAACAAGAGAGACGAAAGTTCTGAGGCTTTTTTTTTAAAGCAGTCTTAATTTTCTCAGATAAGGATATCTGTTCATCTCCAAATATTATCTGCATTTTGACAGCAGGAGAGAGAAGAGATGGAACTGTTTGGCAGTGCCCTTTAAAAAACTGCTCTGATGTCTTCAGAGCCACAAACTCCTGAAATCACCAAGAAGCAAGAAAACAGAAGATAAAAGATACACTAAAAGCATAAACACTCTTTCCCTCATCTTCCTCCTCCAAGTTTTCCACTATGAACTCCGAGAACAAGATTACTAACACTTCCTGCAGGGAAGGCTCAGAATGTACAAGACAAAGAAATAGAAATAAAATTCTCTCTTCTCCTCATTTATTTAATTTTCCTTATTTATGTCACACTTTCTTCATGAGTTTCCTTCCCATTCCAGGAGCAGGAGGAAGGGAGGAAACCATCAGTGACTTGCTAAGGTACCTAAACTGCACAAAATCAAAGTGTGGAGCTGAAGAACATGGTCTTGGAAAGCCAATACTCAAATCCTGTGGGATCTCAGCTCACAGAGCTCCTGGAATCTTGGCCAGCTGGATCTATCTGGAAAACCTTTGGGGAAATACAGAGAAAATGCAATGGATGAAGGAGGGAAAGCATGAGACTGAGAGAGAAAAACCTCAAGAGAAACAAGAGGGAGTGGTTTAGCTGCAAGAGAAGGGTGAAATGTCACCTTTCCTGGAAACTCCTGCTCATTGCAGGATG